ACAGTAAAAACACAGGTCTAAATATTTGAATATTGGGTCTTAAGTGTCAATTTATCTGACTGCTTCTGTGACTTAAAACTAGGCCTACAATTTTGGCAGCCCTTCTGGAAAGATTGCACACTTAATCAAGCTCTTTCGGAACAATTCTCTGGATGGAGGGCATTTTAATTCTCATCCATTCCTATCTACCTCCAGGAATCGATGCAGCAGCAAGAGAGCAAATTTTCCTGCATTCTCACTGCTCCTTGAGGTACAAACCAATTTTCTAGCTTCAACATATCCTAGCAAGTAATTGTTTGGTTCTGAAATAAAACTCTTTATTACAGCAATAGTGATAGGAAACTCGTAGGACAATAAAAAACAAAGTCCTAATGCATCTGATGTGAGTGCATCAGACCGGTAGGGTTCCTGGAGGTGGTGACCGGACCCTGGGCTGAAATGCCTGAAGGTCCAAGTGCAGTCATAAATGATTTCCATAAATAGTGTGACAGAGACTTCACTGTCTTGTGTGCTATGTTGAAAAAAAGGAGGTGGGGGAAGAGGCTGCTATTTCTGGGGTGAAATGGACTTCTTTTTATGTTGCTAACAAAGAGGATCCCACTGGCAGTGCACACTATGGCATTTGCTTTGGGTTTTAAGAACACACAGCTCTGCCTGGCTGGAAAAATTGAAATTCTATATGGCAGCTGCCTGTGACACATGTAAGGCCAGTTATTCTGTCTCATTAATGATGTGACTAAGGAAAAAAAAAAAAAAACCTCCTCAATCATCACCTCGGCAAGACAATATACGGGCCAAAGGACAATGCCACGAAGGGAATAAATGGATTGGGGAGCAGGAGATTGAGATAAAATAGAGTATGAACTTTAGAGGTAGCCTTGGATTGTGATATTCTGTGTTCTGTTTTTCTTACTTTACAAGGGGACACTATAACTTTTTCATGGGGTCATGAAGATTAAACCAGAAAATATGCCCAGGAGAGACTGTACTTCTGGCAAAACAGAGTACATTTCTTAATGTGGTTCTATTAAATCAGGTCCTTATGGGGATACTGAGTGAAGCTGTTAGAAGCAATTAGAGATTTAAGATAAGCCTCTTTGTTTTAATGGAAATAGGTAGTATGACCCATGCACTCATCCACAAGGGCCCTATGAAAGACATGGTGGATTGAAAATGGGTATTTTCGTGACTTATTCCTTGCAAGTAGGAAAACAATTTTGAAAACTGTAGCCATGGGAGCCTGAAGTTTTCCTGCCCTGGCTATCCACACCCCAGACCTGTGTGTGTGAGTGTGTGTGTGTGTGTGTGTGTGTGCGTGCGTGCGTACGCACTGTGCGTTTCTATCCAGCAAATTCTACTGGAGGGAAATGAGGAATGATGATTGAAAGTTTGGAGACCCTGTCAACCTAAGAGTGTTAGGAAGTCAGCAAGTTTCTCTATTACTTGTGTCTACGGCCTTTTCATCCAGATTTTAGGGAAGATTTTGAAAGAAATGGAGTAAGACAGAATCTGACAATTACAAAGAATACCTAAACGCTGGTAGAAGGCTTTGAGGAGAGCTATAATTTTCAAACAACTTTTATTTATTTATTTATTTATTTTTAAATATTTTTTGTTTTTATTATTTATGTTTGATAGAGAGAGAGACAGAGCATGAGCAAAGGAGAGGCAGAGGGAGAGGGAGACACAGAATCTGAAGCAGGCACCAGACTCCGAGCTGTCAGCACAGAGCATGATGTGGGGCTTGAACCCACCAACTGTGAGATCATGACCTGAGCCCAAGTCGGATGCTTACCCCACTGAGACATCCAGGTGCCCCAATCAACTTTTAAATTTTAGGTCAAATTGACTTCATGAATTTGATTTAAATTACTAATCAATTTAATCAGTTTAGTTGAGTATGTAAGTCTAAACTCAGTGTCAAGGAGTCAGGTCAATAGACTGTCTCCTGATACTTTACCTGGGGATCAGGTGTCCATTAGAGTCCTCCTGGGCATTATAGAAATAACCCAGACATGGCTGGGAGATCCAGGCAGCAGATGGTATTAAAGAACTATATAAAACATTGGGATTTGGAAATGGCAAATGACAGCATCAGGAGGGAATGTGATAGGAGACAAGGGTCACTGAGATACTAGGACCAAAAGTTTACCCTTATGACCATTAAATGATGGCGGGTCTAACAGGATGCGAATGGGTCCCTGCCCACAGTGCAGACAGTGATGATGAGGGGACTTTTCAGATACAGATGTAGGGAATTAGGAAAGAAGAAATTTTGTAGAGGAGATGTCTCACACTAGTGAGAAGACACCAGTATTTAGGAGACTAACAGATCCCGGTCCAAATGCAGTTACTGCCACTTCGTAGCTGATCATTTATGTATCATATTTAAGATTTATTTTCCTCATTTATGAAATGGCAAAGATTAACACCTACTTTGCAAGACTTTTGTAAACATAAAATAAATAAAAAATATTTGTTCTTTATGGCACGTAATAATATAGGACTTAAAATGATAACCAGTATTATTTTACTAATGAAAAATAATTTACAGTCCTGGAATAAAGATGGTAGGTACCTTGTATTTGATTCTTACTTGAATCTGAAGTAACATTCCCTAGGAAAGCTCCTTTGAAGCGACAGGTTAACATTTCAGAGCATCTCCCCCGAAAGGAGGCTTTGCTGAGACAAGGGGGGCCGAGTGCTCTTCTGAAGCGGCCTTCTATTCTCTGAGATGAAAGACACATTGAACTCAGACAACGAGGTCCGACGTATCTGTTTTTGATTGTTGATAAATATTTCATTTTACATTTTAAATTCATGCGGGCCACAAACTCACTGAAGATGAAAAAGAATTCAGTCCTAGGCCATCCCTTTGCAGGGGGTTTTCTCAGAATACACTTGTTCCCATTTTGTTCGATTGAGATTGAAGCACCTTGGCAGCTGCCCACTGACGGCTCCTTCCCAGCTGCCGAGCGCACTGTGTGGATGGCTTTCTTTTTCCCTGTTGGTGAGTCTAAAATACCCCCCTTCCAAGATGAACTAAAAAGCAATCACTACCTACCTGGCTATAGGCTTGAGATTTTCATCTCAAAAATAGCATTTTGGGGGTTTCCCAATGCTACATGTCTACACGTGTTATAATGGAGAGATGTGTGGCTGTTTTTTAAAATTTTTAATTTTTTACCCTTTGTGGCAAAGAGCTGAAATATCTTGGAGCAAATTACAGGGCAGAATTTTAATATATTCATGAAAATGACATCTGATTAGGAAAATTCTAAGAACTGAAAATGGCTGAGAGCACACATGTTTACATGATTGTATTACTGTCCCGATGTAGTGAGCTTCTGGAGGGCTGAGCCTCTCTCTCTCTCTCTCTCTCTCTCTCTCTCCAGATTTCAATTATATTATTAGCAGTAGGCCATCTTCACGGTAATTGGTACACTCACTTTATCTAATGGAGTATTTTTCATCTAATTGACTGCAAATTTATCATACAAATGTCAAAGCCAAATTTTCCTATAATAACCTATTATCTCTGCAGTTCTGGCTCAATGCACCCACAAGAAATGGTATAATGATCGTCTTTGGGAGTGTGAAGGACAGCAACTTAATTTTCCTACCTCTGATGGAAATGACAGCTGCTTCTTAAAAAGAAGACACTTTGAATACATTCACTTAATTTTGCTGCATTTCGCACTCACAGGATTTGACTTCATCATACTCGGAACATGAGAATGAACATGTCTGTTGCAGGGGAGCGTTGCAGAGGCAGTGGGGTAGATACGAACAAAGGGCAGGACCAGGGGCAGGAAGTCTGCATGCTGCTTTTACAGTGGATGATTTGGGGGAAATCATGTCACCTCTTTGGTTCTTTTTTTTTTTTTTAATGTTTTACTTATTTCTGAGAGAGAGAGTGAGCGAGCGAAGGAGCGAGCAGGGGAGGGTCAGAGAGAGAGGGAGACACAGAATCTGAAGCAGGCTCCAGGCTCTGAGCTGTCAGCACATAGCCTGACACATAGCCTGACACCCATGAATCGTGGAATCGTGAGATCATGACCAGAGCTGAAGTCATACACTTAACCGACTGTGCCACCCAGGCGTCCCAACACAGGACTTGTTTTTACTCTCTCTGGAAGTTTTTAGGAATTTCTCTTCATTCCTGGGGTTCTGAAATTTCATGGTGATACATCTTGGTGTTTATTCACTTTGCTAGGCACTTAGTGAGTCCTTTTCAACTAGAAAGTCAACACTATTTCCTTAAAATTTTTTAAATGTTTTATTTATTTCTGAGAGAGAGACAGCGTGAGCAGGGGGTGGTCAGAGAGAGGGAGACACAGAATCTGAAACAGGCTCCAGGCTCTGAGGTGTCAGCACAGAGCCCGATGCGGGGCTTGAACCCCCGAACCGTGAGATCATGACCTGAGCTGAAGTCAGACGCTTAACGGACTGAGCCACCAGGCGCCCCCTCTTTGGTTCTTAATAGCAGATGACAAGGTTGCCCTAGAACAGTTGTTCCTCAAGCTTTGGTCACTTATGGACCCCCCCTTCACGGACTTTACACATTTACAAATCCACCTGTCAGCTTTTGTGCCTACTGTATTTCATGGTCTCACCTGACTTATACAGAATATTTATTTGAAAGAGAATATTGACAGTATTTAAATATTTAAAGTCATTTAAGTATTTTTAAATATCACAAATATTTAAAATAAATAACAAATATAGAAGTACCATCACCTGCAATAAAGGTAATCCTAAAAACAAATAAATAAATACCAGTTCAAAGGAAGTACACTTATGGGCCACCACTGAAAATCACAGCAGGAACGTTTCCATGATGATGCTGTTTCTGTCATTTATGCAGTCTGCGATTTGTGCCACTAACAGAATGCATATCACACTTAGCATTGGGCTAGATGATTTGGAGGGTCTTATCCTGGTCTAACAAGTCCATGATTAAGTTATTTAAGAGAAAGCTTCTCTGGTTTACATTTCAGGAGACCACCTGCCTCAAATCCTTCTGACTCATTCCTGTAAAACACGTGATGCTCCCAGTCAGAGGGCGAGATGTGACCTGCTATCTTGTTCTCCAGAGAAGCTAACGAAAACATGGAGACTCATGGACATGTCTAGGTGAGAGATTAAGTACAAAAATCCTATGTTTCCGCCCTAGGGAACATTAAATGGATGAAACTTAACGTGACCCCAATTAAGACAACAATGTAAAGTATTATTTAGGATATGCTTTTAAAATTGACCATGCCTCAGTCTTCTGTGTAGCAAGTCATATAGCTAGGCATATTCATAGAGCACACTTTTGTGAGTGATCTGAAATGATTTGTATGGCAACATTTTTCTCATCTAAGAAAACATGAGAACTTAGAATAGGGCCATAATTATGACTGGCTTCTTTGAACTGAATATGTTGCTCGTCTTATCTTACAAGTGCCTCTTCTAGGAAACAGAGATGAACTATAATAAGCAAAGATTTATAAAGATGTTTACTGTTGTGACATTTGCAATGGTGGAAAAATACACAAATACACAACATTCAAGTTATCCTGAAACAAATTATAATATGTCAATTTGGTGGAATGTATAGTAATTATAATAGTATTAATGAGAAACTTTTATGAAGTGGGGCTGGTATATGAAATAATGTAATATTAGGTGAAATTCTGTGATCAAAATGATCCAAACATGTTAGTGTGGTTTATACATTCACCTAGTCTCTCATCTCGGCCTCTTTCTTGTCCCATGCCAGTGATACTTCTGCTGTACTGAAATGCTGATTTTTCTCTAAACATCACAAGTTCTTTCACAATCCCATGTTATTGAACATGCTAGCTTTGTTTTTTGTTTTTACAAAAATACTTCTTTTCTTAAGAAAATAAATGTTGAGTGAGAAGGGGTAAAAGAGAGTTGGTAAAGAAAGGAAAATTTTTCATTGGAAGTGGGAAACTAGAACTTCATTCAAAATTGCTGAGTGACCTTGGTACAATTTCTTTGTCATTTCTTCCCCTTGTCAGTTTGGTTGTAAGATTTGCACTGCAGTTAGTACTTTGGTTAGGTGCTGAGCTTCTAGCTATTACTCTAATATTATTCATAAAATGGAGAGGGGAGAGGGGAGAGAGAGAGAGAGAGAGAGCGAGCGAGAGCGAGTGAGCACCCAGTAAAGTCAGTTAGTCTTCAACACTGGAAATAAAGAAGCTGGTGATAAAAAAGAACAGAAAGTTATCTTAGGGCCACATGAGGAATTTTCCATCATTCTTCTTCCTCTTCTGCCTTCAACTACAACCCAATGACTCTTTCCTATTCCAATCCTTTGAACATAGAAATTGATATATGCCATTCTAAAAGAAAAGGAAACAGATCCCCCCTCCCCCCACGATAATCAATTGATTATTTTAACAGTATCTAGAGGATACATTGTTTCTGGTCTTACAAAGTTCCTAAAGATTGAAACAACAAATGTGAAAGGAATTATTTAGGAATTGGCTGCTACCCAACCAAAGTTGAAGTATAATGGACCTGATTGCACATTCCAGAGTGTAGATGAAATAGCACTAACCCTAGATTCAGTTCTGATCATAATCCCTCATCAAGTTGCTCTGAGGAAAAAAATTAGATAATATGTGCAGAACCTTGAAAACTGTAAGACACTATATACATGTTAGTTTCGTAAATGCTAAGTCAAGGTGGAAGCAAAGAGCTTTCTAAATCTCTTATATGATTATCACTGGGCATGTGATTAATACTTATGAGAAAAGATTTCCTTGAGAAATCAACAGTAAGATTAAAGTAAACTTTGGTCTGCTCATTTTGGAAATGAAACTATCTTCCTGAATAATTGATAGGAAAATGTTTGATAGCGAGTTAAATACTGAGACATTCAACTCAATTTTAACTGCCAGGGGTGGAGGAACATAGAACTCATGTTACCAAGAAATAAAATAGGTGGCCACCCAGGGCACCTCGGTGTCTCAGTTGGTTAAGCATCTGAGTCTTGATTTTGGCTCGGGTCATGATCTCGTGGTTTTCACATTCAAGCCCCACATTGATCTCTGTGCTGACAGTGCCAAGCCTGATTGGGATCGTGTCTCCCTCTGTTTCTGCCCCTCCCCTGCTTGCTCTCTATCTCTCTCTCAAAATAAATAACAATTAACTTAAAAAAATATGTGGTCACCCATTCACCATGATTTCTGTATCACTAGAAAGGTTGTCTGGTTCAAAATCTATCTCTTATTGGCTCCTAGGGTGCAGTATTTCTTAAACAGGGAGACAGAACCTTTCATTCTACAATTAAGTGGAGATTCATCTCTGTACTTGCAGGGAAACTTCCCTTTTACTGTTTGTGTTATTTGTATCATTATTTATTCTTGCCTTTTCTAGAGTTTTAACTCTTCAAGATCAGGAAACTATTGTTTCCATCTTTTGTCTCTAATGTAGTAATGCTTGTTTTAGTAGACACTTAAAAAATATTTCTTGAAATAATAAATGAATGATTAGATGCAATTAATCTCTACAGATAGAACAATTGATTTATACTTAGATAATGACACACACATGAGCATTTAAAATTGAAGTTATCATTGACATACAATGTTATATTAGTTTCAGGTGTACATCATAGGGATTGGCAAGTATGTACATTATGCTTTGCTCACTTTGATGAGTATAGTTACGATCTGTCACCATACAATGTTAACACAATATTGTTGACTTTATGCTTTATGACATATTTTTCAACCTTGTGTCTTATTTATTTTATAACTGGAAGTTCCTATCTCTTAATCCTCTTCACTATTTCACCCATCCCCCCAACTTCCTGCCCTTTTGGCAACCACCAGTTTGTTCTGTGTATTTATGATTCCATTTTTGTTTTATTTATTTATTTCCTTTTTTAAATTCCAAATGTAAGGAAGATCATATAGTAGTCATCTTTCTCTTTCTGATTTATTTCACTTAGCCTAACGCCTTCTAGGTCCATTCATATTGTTATAAATAGCAAAATCGCATCCTTTTTGTGGCTGAATACTATTCTGTCATATATGTGTGTGTGTGTGTGTGTATGTATGGTATCATGATATATAGATCAGATATATTCTATCATATATATATTAAATACATATATTATATATATAATATATATATTAAATATCTTGATCTATCAGTGAACTCTTAGGTTGATTCTGTACCTTTGCTATCATAAATAATGCTGCCATAACTATAGGGGTGCACATATCTTTTCAAATTAATGTTTTCATTTTCTTTGGGGAATTATCCAGCAATGGAATTATTGGATCATATGGTATTTCTGTTTTTAATTTTCTGAGGAATCTCTGTAGTCTCTATCCATTTACCACAGTAGTTGTACCAATTTTAGAAGATCTCCCTTTCTCCACATCTCCAGCAGTGTTTGACACTTCTTCTATGACACACATGATTGACATATGATTGTGAGTTGAGAGAAAGTTTTAAATTATTTTTATTTTTACTTTTTTGAGAGAAAGCTTTTTAAGTGGATGAGAACTGATTAAGTGGGGGTGTCATAAGGCAAAGAGATTCTTAAAAGAGAAGATAGGATCTTTACAGAGAAAGAACAAACGCAGGAAACAAAGAAAGGAATATAGGGAAATTTGCCAATTCTCAGCTTTATCCACTGAACTTCATGGCCAGAGACTTTTTGAAAACATACAGTGAAATTTACTAAGTAATAGCAAAGAAGTGAACTTACTAAAAATGTATTTTATAGAGAAAAACATGGATTAGAAGTCTCCATTTATAAGAAATATATTCAGAATTGTAAGAATTGAGGAAGAACTTGAGTATGTTCAGTTCAGCTATTTATATTTGTTAGTGAACCTGCATACTTTGACATGAAAACACATATATGGTTCACTTAGTGTTTCATGCTTGTTTATTTTGTTTATATCTCAGTATTTAAAGTTCCTTAGAGACACAGATTGGACCTCTAAGTAGATTGTGTTGTAAACTTATGCTTTGAAGCTTCTCTGCTCCAAACAGAATAATAGGTAAAAAAAATAAATAAATAAATAAAAAAAATAAAAAAATAAAAATAAAAAAAACCCAACAACAACCTTACAACTACATCTGTCAAGATGGTCCAGGTTAGGCTGTAGTAGCAAACACCACCAAAATCTTACTGGCTTAAAACAGAAAAGTTTGTTTCTTTTTAAAAAAATGTTTTTTAACATTTATTCATTTTTGAGAGAGAGATAGACTGCAAGTAGAGGAAGAGCAGAGAGAGGAGACATAGAATCCAGAGCAGGCTCTGGGCTCTGAGCTGTCAGCACAGAGCCCGACATGGGGCTCAAACCCACCAGCGGTGAGATCATGACCTGAGCTGAAGTCGGACGCTCAACCAACTGAGCCACCCAGATACCCCCAAAAAAGTTTGTTTCTTGTTCCTGTTACATTTTCATTGTGAGTTGACTCAGAGCTTTATTCCATGGTGTCCTCACCTTGACATCCAGGTGATGGGTTTGGGGCTTTGCTGGCTGCTATGGCATGATGAGTCATACACTAGGTTCTTAACAGTGTCTGTCTAGAAGACACATGTGCCACATCCACTAATATTTCATCTGCCAAATTAGATTCCAAGGCCATGTCCACAGTAAAGAAATAAAATCCCACTGTATAGAAGAAAGAGTAGAAATACTTGATAAATTGAAGTAGTAATTATTATAGTAGTCATATTGAAATAAATACCACGTTGGCCCCAGAATAGAACAGAATGAAGAGCTGTGTGCAGAGAATAGTTTCAGACTCCAGAGCCAGAGGCAGGGAAAACTAGTCAGGTGTTCGGTTCTGTTGGGGTAAAAATGTCCACAAAAGGCTATAAATTTGTGAGCTTAGAGAAGTGAAATACCTCTGAAACAGCCTAGTAAACAGGATTTGAGATAAGCCACCTACTAGCACAGTGTCCCTATCAGTGATATGTCTCTTATCTTCATGGGTCAAGAGTCGTATGGGATCTAATTAAGGTCCCTTGAAGAACTGGCAGCAGTGGTAGCAAAACATCTAGTCAGACATACGTGAGCCTATATAGAGTGTCAGGAAAAATACCCCCATTCAGGATGAGTCTCCAAAAAAAAGTTTGAATCACTCAAATAAAACAAATACTAAGATAGCCAAGAAAATCAACAATTAGTAGATGAATTCACTCCACTTGTTTAAAAACATGCTTTGTTGGAAAAAAAAAATTATTTAGGAGCTCCAAAGAGAGAAAAAATATATACCAAAAGAGAGTGAGAGAAACACATCTGGGCATAAATGAAAGAAGATTATGTAGATACAGAAAAGAACCACTGAGAAATTTTGGAAATGAAAGAAATTTGTCACTAAAATTAAAAAAAATATATATCATTTACTGTAAACTCAAGATTGGATGAAGCTGAAAGGATGATCAGCCAATTAGCAGTTGGTATTGAAGAGTGCTCCCAGAACATAACCTAGTAATACAGGGGGAAAAATGACAGAGTGGTTAAGGTATGTGGAAGCATGTGTGAGAGGCTCAGTACATGTTTAATACACTTTCTAGAATAATAGGCTTTCAGAAGGAAGGGCAGAGAGTTTACCAGGATTATAAAAACAGTCTACATCCTCCACTAAAAGTGCATCTCGAGAACAAAGCAGAATACATAAAACTAAAGTCTATCTAGGTGCATCGTAATGAAACAGCAGGAGACAGGGATAAATTGAAAATCTTAAGAGCTATTAGTAGGAAAACCTGATTAGCTAAAAAAAAAAAAAAAAAGGAGAAAGAAAATTAGGCTAATAAGCTACAACAACAATATGTGGCAGACACCCATGGAGTAATAGTTTCACATGGCTGAGGTCAAGGAATTCCATATCCATATTGTTTTGGGATTTCATATCTAACTGCACTGTCATGCAAGAGAGGGGGAGAAATAGAGATACTTGCAGATCAATGAAGATTAAGGGGCATGGACCATTATTGAAAGGAACATAAGACATGAACCTGAAAGGAAAGAGGTTAATATTAAAAAAAAAAAAAGGAAGGAAGGTTCAGAGTACAGAAGCACGGTAAGGTCTTGGTCAGGAAGATGACATGATTTTAAAGCCTAAGAGTAACAATTAAGAACCAGAAGTACAACTTAGAGCTTCTATATCAGTAGAGGGAAAAGGAAAGGATAGAGAACAACTGTTCCTTATGTTATTTTATTTCTCTTTTCCCCTTCTCCCGAAACTTACTACAGGGACTCACAACATTAGATCGAACAGGGATTCTGATGAGATAAATGGAGAAAAATTGTTTAGAGTTGGAAACTTGGGGCTAACTTTTATATTGTATCACGACTGTCCTGTAATGTAAATCCCAAGATAAATGCAGAAAAGCCTCAATTATGTGAAACTATTAGCTAACCCAGATTGTTTTTTTCCTTAACCTTAGGGGAGAGAAGAAACTATAGGAAGGTAATCAGAATGTATTTAAAGTGATAATTCAACTCAGTATAGATTTCATCTGGTCATCTACAACTTTTATGTTTTCATCTACCTTACTCTATCTACATGATCACTCAGCTGCAAAATGCCAACTTCTCAGCAGGTCAATCATCATAAAAAGTTCCGTCATTGCTAATATATTTAATGTATAAGGATAGAAAACTGGATTCCTATTGTGAGAAATGTTTTCAGAAATAAGATTCAGAAATGCCTAGCATAACAGGAAAAATTCTGATTATTTGATTTAATAGAAACTTGCATTTATTCTAGGTAACAGAGGCAGGTGTGGCATCTGGAGAGCATGCAAACCGCTTAGCATTCTGGTTCCAAGAGTTTGCTCCGTAGCCAAGCAGCTACGTGTGGCTACATAGCTTATTTAAGCTTTCTGAGTGTCAATATTCTTATGCATAATATAAGGGGTTCAATTAGAGGAACTCTAAGGTTTCTGATGCTTTTAGGTCTGATTCTAGAATACACCATAACCTGGCTAACCAGGTTAGCACAAAGGTATTACCTCAAAAGTCTCTTTTCCTGGCAGGTGTTGAATCTCCTAGATCCTGCTTTATCAGAGAGCTGTGGAGAGTACAGTGCCATCCTGTGTGATGGGCCCTCCATCACGTGCTTTTTTACCCTGAAGAATGAAGTGCAGAGGATGGTGAGCACTATGGAGGAGGAGAAGAATAACAGAATGAACCCAAATAGTGAAGCACACAGGAAAGACATGTCAGCCAATTCACAACTGACATATTTATACAAATATTGGGCAGAAATTTCCAACTTTCGAAAAAGCAAAACTATGGTACCGTTGTCCAAGGAAAGATGTAAGCAATGAGAGGCTTTGATGGGCTGGAGCTGTTATAATGACTTTGGCGCTGGGCCACTTCCTCATCTGTGACATTTATCATGCAGCAATATGCGGGATCTTGATTGGAAGCTCATGCTGTGAAATACAATGAATGTAATATCTAGAAAACAAGGGAGAACAGATGTAGCTGGGTTGTATAATCCAGCATGACACTCATTATCCTTATGAAAGGAATAACTATCAAGCTTGAAAGACGGAAAATAGATGCAGCCAAGATGGCCAGAATTCTGCCTAGTTTTAAAAGATGCCTGTAATTTCTGTACCTGGGAATAGTCATTATGAAGCAGGATGTCATTATGCCAATTCTTGTACCACGCAAGCATCCCTTATAATAGGTGTGCAGCCTGACTTTTTCCTCTGTGGAGATGTTTAATTTTGCTCAAATGATATTTCATGGGCAGCAAACAAAAGTTAGAGCAGGATGAGGGGGTCAGGAAATGGTTTTTCACAGACACAGACTCTTATTTTCATTATCTTACCTTAGTGACAATGGCAATATAATATACAAATTCTTATGAGTAGGGGAGAGTGGAAGACCTGCAAAAGAATGGGTCTTTATTTACAAGGTATTTACACTATTTAGAAACTGACCTTTTTTCTTTATTTCTAATTTTGGGAAGATGTTGTCAGACTTGAACAATTCAAATAAGGTGCTGAAGTCACGTTGATGTAACAGTTCCATTTCTAAGCTCTTTAACTCTTTGGTGTTTGAATATATAAAACCTTTGTGGTATTTTAATATAAAAGAATAATTTTGTTTCTCTCAGTAAAATATTTTCATTGTGAAAAGTTACCAGTGTTTGGAGTTTCCTCTTTTGGCTATTGCTGTAGGAGTCAGATTCCAGACAGAGAGATTCTGGTGACTGAAGGAAAAGGAGTCCCCATATCACAAATTTGGTTAAAACTCTAAATAACAGAAGAATCTTTAATGCTTTCCTCTCTGAAACAAACCTGGAATCTTTTGTAGATATTCAGTATCAAATTTTATTTGTCTTATGCTAGAATCCTGACTTTCCTTCATTACAATGTTTATCTAACGCTTCAGATGTATATTTTATCCTGTTTACAGTAATGCCCTTAGTTTCAGTGTACATATTTGAATCTCTTATCAAAAATATATTTAAGCTCATTTACTGTCATTCTCACTATTTTAAAATTAGGTACTCAAATCACTTCTCAAATAAATCTTTTAGCTTCTCTGAAATTTATTTACTCTTGAGTGTAAGAGGCTCCCTCCCCTGTGGATCCAAAAACCATTCCTGGAAAGGTGTGGAAAGGAGGGAATTGTGGGATGGGCTTTTACAGAAAATAGAACACACACAGAGATGTCTTAAGGCTGGAGGTGAGATATTTGCCAGAAGTCTGGTGGTTGCTGCCCTCATTTCTTTCTGCATGCAGACTTTTAATTAAATGGAAAAGTCATTTTTGAAAATATTCCAGCCCTGTGGCCTTATTTCCAAAGTACATCAAACATCGGCTCTTTTAGTACTGAGCTGCTCTTCTGTCTTGAACTCTGGTCTACTTTTCTATCTGATGCTGGGCTAGACAGGCATTACAAAATCCTATTTAGTCCTGTCCCTTAAACTCTAGAACTTACCTGGGTTGGAAACTTATGAACTATAGACTAATTCCTGGTGCTTTCACTGTTAAAAAAAAAAAAGTAGGGGTGCCTAGGTGGCTCATTTGGTTGAGCGTCTGACTCTTGGTTTTGGCTCAGGTGATGGTCCCAGGATCATGAGGTTGAGTCCTACATCCATTGGGCTCCATCCATGCTGAGTATGGAGCCTGCTTGAGACTCTCTCTCTCTCTCTCTCTCTCTCTCTCACTTCCTCACTCTCTCTTTCTCTCCCTGCTGTACTCACCCTCTGTCTCGGAAAAAAAAAATATATATATATATGTGTATATATGTATGTATATATATGTGTATATATATGTATATATATGTGTATATATGTATGTATATATATGTGTATATATGTATATATATGTATGTATATATATGCATATATATATATATACACACATTTGAATACCTTTATTTCTTTTCATCTTATAAAGTTTTTATTTAAATTAGTTAGTTACCATACATCTAGTATTAAATTTCAGGTGTACAAAATAGTGATTCAGCACCTCCATACCACACTTGGTGGACTCCAGCATCCCCATCATGTATTTAACCCGTCTTCCCAACCACCTCTCCTGCTAACTGTCAGTTTGTTCTCTATAGGTAAGGGTCCATTTCTTCATTTGCCCCTCTCTCTCTTTTTTTTTTCTTTGCTCATTTTGTTGTTTCTTAAATTCCACATATGAGTGAAATCACACGGTATTTCACTCATATGTGGAATTTAAGAAACACTGCCAATAAGCAAATGAACACTCTCACTTTTCTTGGTCTCTGTGGTGATTTACTTCACATGACTGACTTCTCATGTGGCTTCCCTGCCTAGTCCCTGTCTTTCCAAGTAATGATCTGGTGACTTGTTTTTCTGCTCACAGCTCCAAATAATCTTTTGGTTTGTTTTTAATCATCTGCTGGTATTTTTAGTGAGGAGACCGCCAGAATCTATATAACTTGACCCTCAAGACTAATAGTTAAGGCCACCTGCATTACCAAGACTTAACTGTTTGTTGTAGGAAATTCCTATTCAGGAAGATAAGACAGTAAACCAGTAAATAACCTCACTGTTTACTTCAGGTTTTTTTTTTTTTTTTTAACTTGAGGATATTTTTGAAAACTAATTTGTTCAGGCAAATAATTTTCTCATCTGGGTAAATAGCCCTCCTTTCTCAGCAATAGATTACACACCTGAGCAAGCGGCTTGCTTCTCAAGCAGTAGCTTACTTATCAAGACTCTCTTCAAGACACTTGCTTCAGAGTCCACCAATCAGAAACTATTATGCCACAGATTTTCCGTGTCTGGTTTATGCCTTGGCAGCCTGCCTTAAATCATTTGAGCCCAGACCCCAAGATCTATAAATATCCTTCCCATACCACTTTTTTCAGAGACACTAACTCATGCTGTCAAGGTGGTGTTACTAAAGCAGGTCTAATAAACTGAGTGTTCTTCGTTCAACGCATTTTCTGGCGGCCTTCTGGGGAGTCAATAGGTAAATACCTCATATGATCCAACTTACCCATAGTGATGTTACACCTTAAGTTAGGTCTTATGTAGCTGTATTTGACTAAAAATAGGGATATTTCCTCCTCTGGTGTGGAAGGCATAGAAAAAGAGGATAGAATTGGTTTTATTCACAACAGTTCATCTATATGCTAGCAGTTCTCCAGTGGGGCTGAGGGATAAGGAGAGGGTAGTCTTGGTATTTAATTAACTTATGGGGGGTTTCAAATTACACTTCCATGAAGATTGTAATAGACCAGGTACCCCTCCCCTAGATCAGAAGTGAGAACTACTAATCTGGGTGTTGTTCAACCTAAAAATGTGAATGAAAGAATGGAGGCCATTATCTATTAATTAATGACTAAATACTAGTCTCTCAACATATAAATTATTAAAGCAAAGATGTCGTGTTGCATATACTATCCAGTATTTGCCTTCTTTTTCCCCACTCAACTTAGTCAATATAGTTTTTAAAAAATACTCCTTATTCTTGACCTTCTATAGATTTATTTTTATACAGAGGGAACAAAGCATATTTGGCTCTCACCCCAGAAGGGCATACAACTATGCCAGAGAAATTAAAGAGTAAGACAGGATTTGTACAAATCAGTCCTTGGTTATTTTAGGAATGTTTTTCATAGAGCTTTGGTGTGAGGATTTGTTTTTGTTTTTGTTTTAAACATGGGAATTGGTTCTGCCTTATGAAATGCTCACTAGACTTTGTTCAAAAATGTTTTTTTCTGTTTGTTGAGGGAGTTTTATTTTTCCTACTTGATGAAAAATGCCATCCTCGTAAATAAGTCTAGAAGCACTTTATGTAAGAGATAAGATTTTAGTTTTGACAAGCGAATAACCAGGGAAGGTTATTCTGACTGAGTGAGATATTCCTTTTTGGAGTGGGATGACGATGACAAGGTGGAGAAAATCTGTAACTGTGTGGGGCATTTCTTTCTAAGTGACCGTATGCACAGCACACATCAACACATCTCCTCTCTCACTGGAATTTTTTGGTGATGATTTATCAACCTTATATAATCTCTGCCTTCTTTTTCATGGTTCCATTATTATAATTGCTTTCTCCTCTAGGTCTTCTTTGCTGTCGAAATTTTCCATAGTTCTTAAACATTTTTTTAAATATATGTTTCTTTTTGAGAGAGAGAGAGATGGAAAGAGTATGAGCAGGGAGGGGCAGAGAGAGAGAGAAGGAGACACAGTCTACAACGCGGGCTCCAGGCTCTGAGCTGTCAGCACGAGCCGAATGCAGGGCTCAGACTCACCAACAGTGAGATCCTGACCTGAGCCAAGGTCAGATGCTTAACTGGCCGAGCCACCCAGGTGCCCCTCCATAGTTCTTTTTTATTTTGCTTCTGATGTTTAGGCCTTCCAAGATTCATGTTCATGTCTATGTTTCATAAAATTTAAAGATGCCCACTTTTGACTTCTCTCCCCAAGGTACTTAAATATAAACATTTTAATATTTATTTTAATATTTCCCTCAGTCTTTAGTCATACTCGTATTGGACAGATCACATTACATTATGGGAGAACTGTGTGCAGGATATAAAGAATTGTTGAGTGGCTGAAGAAAATAAAAGAAAAAAATAAATAAAAAAAGGGGTGCCTGGGTGGCTGAAAAAAAAAAGAATTGTTGAGGAAAAAGGTTGATCCTATTCTTTGTATTAAGTAAGAGTATTGGGAAGACACTGTTAGCAGTCAAGACTTCTTCTGAAAGAAGACTGCTACTGTGGTGTATCCAGTTCTGTCCTTGTCTTACTTACACTGCTTCTTAAGACCTACCCTTAAATCCACAGGTGGATCAGAAAGGATTATTTTCAGGCTCCATGTAATTAACACTTGCCAAGGGTACAGTGCTTGACGTTAGTAGATATGAAGAGTTGTATACACATCAGGTGGTTTTGTTTGGTTGGTTGTTCTTATTTTAGAGCCCAGTTTGAAATTGTAACATATAACCCGCCCAGACAGAAATACAACATGTTAAAAAAGAATTCTATATGAGGGATGGGTATACTTTGAGTTTTATTTTTACCTGCCTTGGGCATTAGTAGTTGTTACCTAGGGTTCATCCCATTCTAGGTGTTCTTATATAACAATACACAGAGGGGTTCTTCTAATCTGTATTTCATCAAAAAGTGATACCAGAATATTCTTTGGCTCCTCTGTCTCACATATCAAATCCAGTCCATCAGCAAATTCTCTTGGCTCTCCTTGAAATGTTACCCTCACTCTTTCCACCACCTCTGCTGGTCTCACTATTTCAAGCTATTTCATTTTGAGTCTTGCAGAGTCTTCCTAAAGACCGGCCTGCCCCTGCCCCGGACTATTTTCCATAGCAACCAGAGGAATCCTTCTACAATGAAAGCAAGATTTGATCACCTCTCTACCCAAAACTTGCCAGTGGATTTCCCTTGTACAAAGTTTAAAATTCAAAGCCTTTTCCTACCATGACCCCAAGGCTCCATGATTTCATACCTGGCTCCTCCCTGATGCTATTTCTTATGAGTGTCCCCTTCCCGACCCTGCTCTAGCCTCTGGCTACTCCGTGAACACATAAGTTCTGTTCCATCTCCTGGGTCTTTGCAGTTGCTGTTTTGTCTGGAACACTCTTTTCCCCAGACAGCTGCATGGCCTGTTCTCTCATTTCCTTCAGGTTTGTGCTTCAGTGTCACTTCATCAGAGAGGTCTTACCTGACTGCCCTGTCAAAGCTGCACCCCCTGTTCCTTTCTATCTCTGTATTCTACATAGAAGTATGCAGTTATTTCCATCTGTACATACTCTATTTATTGTCCACCCCCTCCCCTACAATAGAATGCAAGCTCCGTGAGAGCAGGGGGTATGTCTGCTTGTTCATTGCTCTGTCCCAAGGCCTAAAAATAACTATAATGGTGTCTAGGCTATAGCTAGGTATGCAGTAAATATGTTTTTCCCATTTCATTTTGTTTCATTTGGTTTCGTTTCATTCCATCCCATTCTATTCCATTTTTTTCATCATTA